CCATGAGCAGTTCTGAACCTGGTGTGTACAATGTTTTTTCATATATATATATATATAATATATGAGTTATTTAGTGTATCAGCAATATGTTTTCTGTTTTATACAAAAAGCAATGTACAAATTATATAACCTATTCTACATTCTGACTTTTCCCATTAAATACTAGATCTTGGAGATTTGTTTATGTTTTAGTAAGTCTCCAGTTTAAGTGTGGCAGGCCAAAACACTCCTGCTTCGATAATGCCGTATGACATGAAGTAGAAACTTAACAAATGATGTTGCCAGAGCCATCACTATTCCAAAATAAACAAAGCAATACTCTGCAGCACCTGTCTGCTGAAATGAAATTCACACTAGCTGGTGAGGAATGCTGCTCTCTTCGCCTCAAAACCTCAGTAAAAAACATGCCTTGGGTGACATTCTCAAAAATAGTGTTCAAAAAGAAACTAGACATATTTCTAATCCTGCAAAAACAGAGGCAAGCGCACTGTGCTGGGCTCAAAAATATTTATGTCAAAGCCAGAAAAGTACAAGTAGCATTGATCTCCACCAACAAAGTCACGGGATTTGTAATCAAGCGCTTCATTTTGTTTAGGGTTCAAAGATTTAACTTGATATTTATCTGTCTTTGGAAGAGGGTGTATACTTTTCTGTTTTCCTCTTTTAAAGACTTAATATCAATAATAAATATGTGTGGACTTACAGTTCTGGTTTCTGAACCAGAACTTGGTCATCTGTAGTTCATTAATAACAGGCTGAGTCTCAAAGTGGTAAACAAAATTATACAAGGAGGTTAATTTCAAGGTTTTTTTTTTTTTATAACTGTCTTGATTTCTGTACTGTGAAATATTACTAACCACATTATGAGCCTAGCTAATAATAATAATTGCTACTTTATAAAACTGATGTTTAAACTTTATGCTGTGTGGGCTGGCAAGATGGATCATTGGGTAGAGGTGCTTGTGTGGCAATGTGAGGATTTGAGTTGGATCCGGGATCCCACAAGTTAGAGGGAGAGAACTGCCTCCTAACGATAGTCTTCTGATTTCTATATGTCCTGTAGCACATACATTCATTCTCTCTCTCTGTCTCTCTCTGTCTCTCTCTGTCTCTGTCTCTCTCTGTCTCTGTCTCTGTCTCTCTCTCTGTCTCTGTCTCTCTGTCACACACAACACAATAAATAAATAATAAGTAAATAATGAAGCTGTGTATCAAATGAAGCTGTAGAATTTCTTTCTTACCAGTGTCAGGAACAGTACTATTTGTCTGATGTCATTTAGGCAGAACCAATAACGCAGACTTTACTTTGGGGTCATTCAAACACAAGTAATAAAGAAGCAATGGCATTGATTTGAGCATAGGCAGGTTTTGGATTGCTGCTTTTTGCTGCATTTTTTGCTTTTGGTGTGTCTGTTTGCTTTTTCAACCACCCAATCTTAGAATTGTATTTTTAAATTGAGTGCTTGGCTCTTGCTAGTCACTAAAATGCAACCTATGGAATTGGGGTCCCTTTCTACTGTCAGATCAGCGTGGTCAGTGCATTATTGGATACCTTTGAAAGGCATTACAAAGATGATATATTGTTTATGTGCACATGCTTCTCTATGGTACGTGCATATGCAGAAGGGTGTGGGGAAAGAGTGCTCAATAAAATCAATAAGGTATTGAAGTCACTTTTATTTAATGTTCATAAAGAAAAATGCTCCTGGGCTTTGCTTCAGTTCTTTGAACCTACTCGAGGTGTTCGGGCTGACAGCATGGCATGTCTGTATTCCTTCCATTTATTGTGCACACAGCCTGCAGCATCCACTGTACAATTATTTGCAATATGTATACATTCTTACACATTCTTTTTTGTCAGATTATAAGTTATATTAGAGAGGGGCCTTCCATGGCTTTTAACAAAATGGTTTCCATACCAACTAGCTCATAGTACTTGCTCAATAAATATTTATTAAACCAGTGTTTAATCTAACACAGTTTAACTATATAACATATAGCCATGTTATGTTTTCTAATGAAATATCTAGTCAGGTTCTGTCTGATACTGGCAGAGATATTTACTCAACTGAAGTATTAATATTTATGTTTACAGCAGGGTGTTTTAGGAAAAATATTTTCTTTGATAATGTCAATTTTTTAATCAATCTTGAGATCATATAGGAATTTCCGGAAAAATTATATATATAATTTTAAAACAGGGAAACATTTTATTTATAATATTTAATTATTTTCTGGGAAATGGATGTTAAAATTCAAAACAAATGAGCATTTTTAGTTTAATTAATGTACAAAAAGTCAGGAGACTTTTATATATCACTTCAAAGACTCCAAATAGTAAGTTTATGTAATAGCATTCCATTTTTTGCTTAATAAATACAATATTGTTGTATATTTTTTGACACATCATCAGAATTGCAATGTTGTTATAACTCCATATTATCCATAATGTTTACTTGAGCAGTATTTCCAATATTTAGTGTATCATTTTGTCATTATTAAATGTAATAGTTGAAGGCACTATAAAAGAATCAAAATACACCTTCTAAGAAGATAGTCACATATTGCAAACCATTTTCATTATGACACATGTCTTCTATTAGTGATCATAAATACAATTATCAAGTTTGATTCAATATCATTTTCCTCTTACTCTGATAAGAAGTGGGATTGTACTTCAACTGGCCAGAGAATATGTTTCTTTAGTGGAGGTCAAACAATTTTGAGAAATCATTTCAGTGTTGTTGTCTCACCAAGAAAATATTGACTGTGTGGTTTGTTGTTACCTAGCAGGCAAGAAAATAGGAAGATGGACACCTCAAGTCAATTGCATAAGGCTTATTTTATAAATCTTTTTTTTTATGTGGGTGAAATCAGGTTTGCCAAATCACTATCTAGTCTTCACAGGATTGATTGATGCTTAAGATATTTTCAAGACATAAAAGCCAGGAATGTTCATCTTACTTTATTAGAAAGAATAAAGTTGTAATATCATCCCTGACTGATAATTTTACAGCTTCAAAATTTGAGTCAAGCTATGTACATGTGTTGCCTGTATGTAATGGACAGCTTTCTATGCTATTTAAATGTATGGATCCATGTAGTAAATAATAAATAAATGGAGGTTGACTTCTCTAGGACAGCTGTGATCATTGCAAAGAATTTCAAGTTGTAATAGATGATATTTAAAGTATGAGAATGAAAGAATTAGAGTCCCACAAGAGGCCTAAAAGGTTACTTTTCATAAAGAAGAGAAATATATTCACATTGAAGAATATTAATGATGATTATTTAGTTATAAAAACTAAATCATTATTGTGTCATATCAAATACCCATTCTGAAATAAGAACTGAATTTAAATTATTGGCCAACTATGGTCTCCCTCAAGTCGATTGTCTCACTTTACTGTATCCATGATAATACATCATGGCCAAGACAAGTTGTAGAAGAAAGAGTTTATTTGGAGCTTACAGTTTCAGAAGGTTAGAATCCATGACTATCATGGTGGGGAGCATGGGTGAAGGGTGGTAGGCATGATGCTGGAGTGGTATTGAGAGCTTACATCTTGAGAGAGCAAATTTGGAATACCATGGGTTTTTGAAACTTCAAAGCCTTTCCCCAGTGACACACCTCCTCCCACAAAACGAAATCTAATTCTTCCCAAACAGTTCTTCCAACTGAGGACCAAGTATTCAAATATATGAGCCTACAGGATTCATTCTCATTCCAACAACCACATTGATAGTCAGTTCTTTCCTCATTCTCTGTTTAGAGAGATTTCTGAGTTTGCTGTAGGCAAATTCTTTCCTCTACCTGCCTAAATTTAGAGTTTACCATGTGAGTTTTCTAGAACAAAAGATACATGGGGAGCTTACATGGGATTTAATGAGCGGAGCTCAGCAAGTATTAGATAGAGTTTCCAATCTTTTGGGAATGTCTGATATACTGTAGAATTTTCAAGGCATCAAAAAATGAATTAAGGTAACTAATTTCTTTTCTTTATTTTAATCTGTGCCACTAATGCTTTACCCTGGAATATGTATACACTTTTATTTAACAAGCATTAGTATTCCCAGCACCTTGCTTTCAACATAGGACGTTGTAGCCATGATGAGAAGAGATAGACAAAGGAAGGCATAGGGCTGGGTCGAGATTTATAAATTACTTAAAATAGTTAGGTTATTCTTCAAATTTTCCCTGGTTTTTTTTGAATGTATTTATTAAGTGTTTTGTGCTTCTGAGGTATATAGTTTCCAGCATTGTTATGATTTATGCATTATCCTTCAATTGATGTGTATAGTATCATTTTAAGACCAAAAGGCATATATTGGTTGCCAGCCTGTGAGATTTTTTTTTAATTTGTACAAGTTTCTTTCGTGGAGCCAGGCATTTAACTGAAAAAGCCATTGCTCAGGAGTCACTGTGATTTCAACTTTTCTTTTTGCTCAAGTATTTGAGAATTGCTCTCATGGCTTTCAATATTGGAAATAATAAACATGGTAATGTCAAGAAAACAACTATTTTTTGCTTAGGCTACCACAGAAAATTATCTCTCTTTCTCTATATAATATAATGTATATATATATGCATATATAATATGTAATACAGTTATATATTATATATCCACACATATTTTTATATACTACATATAAATAGATCATACATAATCTATATATGTAATCTCTTGACATATGGAAGATTCTATTATGTTCTGATTTCAGTGTGATATATATTTCCAGATCTTTATCTTTCAAATTTTTGAAAAAGGATTATTGCAATTTAAAACCTTCCTAGATCCTCCATTAGAGAAAACAGCCTGGGTATTTATTTATTTATTTATTTTAGTTTTAAATTCTAACAGAACAAGGTAATATTTGAAAATTAAGATTTGTTGGGAGGCTATTGTCATCCATATTGCTGTGTTAAATGTGTAGGTATTGAACTGTCGATGAAACATGAGACATTTAGTCAGTGACATTTTAAATGAATCTCATCATAGGGAAAGCCCGTGGGAACACCAGATGCCGGCGCGTATTTCCGTGTGCTTGCAGAGCATGGAGTGGCTGCCTTGTTTACAGCACCGACTGCAATTAGAGCAATCCGTCAGCAGGACCCTGGGGCAGCCTTGGGGAAGCAGTACTCTTTGACAAGGTGAAGTAGAGATGCACAGGGCAAATTACATCAGAACCTGGAGTCCAAACTGAGCATTATTTTTGGTTTTGTAACACCTGCATAGAAGGAGTAAAACATTGAAAATGTTATTAAGAATGGCTCTGTGTATGTTACTCAGATAGGTGAATTAGGAACCTCACTACACATATTTTTAAGCACTATAGTCCTGTCTGTTTTAATTGAACTCAAACTATAACACTTCCCTTTTTTCCTTCTTCCTTCCTTCCTTTTTTCCTTCCTTCCTTCCTTCCTTCCTTCCTTCCTTCCTTCCTTCCTCCCCATTTCTCTCTCTCTCATTCTTTCTCCTTTTTTTGAAGACTGTGTTTATATTTTCCTTAAAAGTAAAATTCTGATTATGACTTCAGATGCATGTTATCTCAGCACTTAACTGTCTTCTGTAAATATTAGTATATCAAGTCTTAAATAGAGAGAAATATTATCCAAGTACATATATACAGATGTAATGTAAATATTATTGTCCAGATTACATATGTTTGTAATGAGAGCAGTTATTCCATTTTGCTTTGTAACAACATGTTGTAGATACCTTAGATATATTTTGTGTTATTTTGTTGATTTCTTTAGTTTAATGACATGTACCTTCAGAAATAATTGTAACAATATATACCCTCCAGGCCTTTTCCAACACTAGTTCTTGCTGAACTCTCTGATATAAGTCACTGCTGTCATAAACTAAAAGAAGAGATTTTGATTATTCTTCAAGTAAAAGGGTGGACTTGATTAAGAGAGTTTGAATATTTGATGTTTAGTGCCATGGTATTTGAATTTTATGTTTCAGTGGCCCAAAGTAATTAAAATAGGTATCGTACAAGCAGCTGCTGAGATAAACAAGAAGGTTTCTGTTTGGGCAGGATCTTTAGTTTTATTTATTCATCTTTCAAATAGTTTTATATTATGAGACATGAGATCTAGATTTACTAAAAATTACATAGATGATGTAAATAATACAGTTTTATTTTTTATTTTGGAAGTGTGCATAATATGACTCTTGCAGTATACTATTCTATTTATCTTCATTTTCTGCCTTCATTTATCATACTTCAGTTATCCCTAGTTCAATGCAGAGGATAGAAAATCAATTGTGGCAAAAAAAAATACTCTATTAGTTTTATAGTATCCATATCTGAAGACAAGCCCAGAGGTTTCAAATGTTTCTCAGTCCTGCCCAGCCTTACGGTCTGAAAAACTCTCTCCCACTCACGGTCCTGTAGTTGCTTATAAAATAATCACCCAGAGGAGTTCCCATGATACTGGACTAGTCCCTCTGGATAAGTGAGACAGTTGTTTAGCTTGAATTGTTTAGGGGGCCCCCAGGCAGTGGGATCTGGACCTGTCCCTAGTACATGAGCCAGCTTTTTTGAGTCTAGTGCCTATGGTGAGACACTTCGCACAGCCTTGGTGCAGGGAGGAGGGGCTTGGACCTGCCTCAACTGAATGTACCAGGCTCTGCTGACTCCCCATGGGAGACCTTGCCTTGGAGGAGGTGGGAATGGGGGGTGGGTTGGGGGGAATACTGGGTGGCGGGAGGAGAGAGGACAGGGGAATCTGTGGTTGGTATGTAAAATGAATAGAAAATCTCTTAATAAAAAATAAATAAATAAAATAAAATAATCACTCAGAGACTTATATTAATTATAAACTGTATGGCCTATGGCTTCAGCTTCTTGCTACCTAGCTCTTTCATATTAAATTAACCCATTCCTATTAATCTATATGTTGCCATGTGGCCGTGTCATTACCGGTCTGTTGGCATCTTGTTGCTCCTTGCGCAGCAGGGCTGGCATCTCTCCCAAATCCACCCATCTTTTCCCTGTATCTCTGCTTGGATTTCCCACCTGACTGTAAGCTTTCTTGCCATAGGACAAAACCACTTTATTTATTATCCAATGGGAGCCACACATATTCACAGCATACAGAAAGACACCCCCCAGCAAGAGGTTTGAGAAAGCATTTAATTTAGTTTCTTAAATGTCTATTCACTGACATGAATATACTTTAATGGTACAAGTTTAGGGTATGGAGTTATGTTTGTCAGTAAACTAAAATGTCTTTTGTTTTCTCCATGTGTTCCTACTTACACATGGATTTTTATGTTATCTTCCACACAATAATGATCACTAAAATTAACACACTTTTCAAATGAGTAATTACTTGTGGAATATGAGAATTTATCATAAGCCTAATGACAAAATCTTTCTCCTTTTCACCCTCCTATGTCTTTAGGAACCTAGGGTATCTATGATGGCACATTTATCTGTTTTTAATTGATATTTAGGAATGCTTAATTGCTTAGAATACTTTGGGGATGTTTATAGATTAAACACCCCTAGTCTTCAAAATATTCTTATTAATGAGTGAACACACTGTATAAGATACAAGTGGTTTATCATCTCCTTTAGCAGTAGTATCTTCATAGGTAAAAACTATGAACATTATCCTTATTTTACAGTGGAGTAAAGTTAGGACCCAAGGGCTTAAATATCTCTTCAGGAAGAAACTAATGCAAGCAATCTCAACAGGACTCACACATTTATTTTACCCACATAGGTATAGTGTTACTATTTAGAAAAAGTATCACCTCTCATAAGGGGTTTTGACATTCATGTAATAAAAAGGATTGTTTGCTTTTCATATTTATATGCTACACAAATAATGTCTCTATTGAACTGTATTTAATAGATTCTCACTTGTCAACTGAGAGTCCAGTGAAAACAGAAGAGTTTAAGAAATTCCAACTGTTTATTGCAAACAAAGAAATTAAGGTCCACAGAGGTAAAATTTGGGTTAAAGACTGGATATACTCAAATCTTCTCTCTCATACAACAAAATGTGCAACATGAACACCATGTTATAGACATTTAATACTTACTGAGTAAGATTAAAGGTAGAATAGAATATTGTTGGGCTGCCATAACCCAACCTAATTTTTGAAGACTTTCATAAAGGAAAAATATGCATGTAAGAGGATGGTTAGGGAACCCCAAGCCAGCAGTGCCACAATGATGAGATATGTTAGCAGAGTTTTGTAACCATCAATACAACCATGATAGAATACTGTGTTAGAGGAGAAGCCAAAATTAATTAAGTAATAGTCAAAGGAAACAATGGTTAAGAGTTATTTAAAAATGCAATGATCATCTCTGTTGTATATTGAGAAAACATAAGAGATCTCACTCTGACTGTGGGGAGGGGTTGTGACCTATGACATATTGGATTCACTGTAAATCCCTTCTACTTAGGAAAACAGTATTGTGATGAGAATAGGTTACATTCCTACATTTCTAAGAAAACTTATTCAGAGGAGAAGTGGCTTGACAAACACGTAAAATGGCATACTTTGGGGTAGATGAATGTCATGGGGCCAACTGCTTTATTAAGTACAAAAAATAGTTTTCCCCATATATTATATAAAAATACATTTACTAGCTTACTACATCAAGCTAGCTCTTTGATATTAAATTAACTCATTCCTCTTAATCTATATGTTGCCACATGGCCATGGCATTACCGGTTTGGTGGCATCATGTTGTTCCTTGGGCAGAGGGGCTGGCGTCTCTCCCGAATCCGCCCTTCTTTTTCCTGTATCTCTGCTTGGATTTCCCACCTGCCTGTAAGCTTTCTTAAGATTTTAATAAGATTTTGATGTTTTTCACAAGGAACATCTTTTAAAGTAGAAATCACAAACCATTAAGGAAAACTTTTTTGAAATTTGACAACAGTAATTTGAGCAACTGTACATCAAAAGAAAAAAGACTTCTGTACCAAGAGGTTTTGTTAACATATAGAGCCATTAAATATTTAATTTATAAAATTTATAAACGCTCTTGTAGCTGGAGAATTTCACTCCAGCTCCCACCAAGTCCCGCCAGTCCCAGAGCCCACTTATAAAATAAACACACAGACTCTTACATTATTTAAACTGCTTGGCCATTAGCTTAGACCTATCATTGTCTAGCTCTTACTCTTATATTAAGCCCATTTCTATTAATCTATACTTTGCCACGTGGCTTGTGGCTTACTGGTACCTTACATCTTGCTTGTCCTGGTGCCTCAAGCTGTCCCTTGCTCCACCTTCCTGTTCCCTCAATTCTCCTCTCTGTTAGTCCTGCCTATACTTCCTGTCTGGCTACCAGCCAATCAATGTTTATTTATACAGAGTGATATCCACAGCACCCTCTCACTAAGGAACAGACAACTCAATAAAGAAATGGGTGGGTAATAAAATGAGTTCATGAAGAAGGATACTGGAGCATGACAAGATTTTCACTTTCATGAATACAGAAGAAAATTTAAAAGTAAATGAGATTGCATTTTATTCTCACCATAAATAAAAAACCTGAAGTATATATCAGTGACCTTTCTGACAAGGGTATAATACCTCAAGGCTGTTCTCACATTGTTGATGAGAGCTTAAATGAGGACCACTAGTAATATGTTTATACCCTGTGGTCAAGCCTTGGCAAGCATGGAGGGATGAAAATGAGAGAAATACAATGGTGTTCCCGGCCTCGGAGAATAGGCTGTTGTCATGGAATCCTATGCCAGGCCCATAGTCAACACCATATGCTTTCTCGTCTCATCAGAATCTGAGCAATCTGAGCTGCCACTGTGTCTTGTTAGTATTTATACCTGAATTGCAGCTATGCCAGCCTCTGGATAGCACAGGCTCTGCAGCATTTTCTCTCTTTCCTGTGCCACCCCACAGCTATGCTTTATAATTTTTCTTACCATCATTATCAGAACCACAGTTCCATCCCATCTTCCAGAGTCTATACTGCTGAGGTATGCCACAGACCTACACTGGTGCTTCCCTCAGAAGTGCTCTTGTGCTTTACAATACTCAGATCTCAAGAATCTGGCTTCATAGCCTCTTTGTGTGTTTGAATCCTAGTGCTGTAATGAATGGCTGTAACCCAAGTCAGACCCAACAACAAAGCAACAAGGGACCCCTAAATCCT